CGTGGAGAAGCTGCTGAACATCCAGCCTCCTCCCCGGGCACAGTGGATCCGAGGTATGTTCTGCTCCTTATTTCTGCTGCCCACTGTGAGCACAGGACATCTAAGTGCATTGAACTCAACTTTGATATTCAGATTCCAGATTCCACTCACACAGGATTAGCCCTGGGCTCCTATGTCCTTCTTTCTAAAAACACACACAATATGTATAAATATTCATTTCGGATATTTATTGTGTATGTGGATGCATGTGAAATAGCATGTATCAAGGCATTTGTGGGGAGGTCAGAGGGCAGCTTTTGGGAGTCAGTTCCCTGCCTCTGCCATGTGGGCAAGCCTTTACCCACTGAGCCATCCTCCCAGCCCCGTCCATCACTTCTTGTCTTTCCATCTCACAGTGCTGTTTGGAGAGATCACACGGATTTTGAACCATATCATGGCTGTGACCACACATGCCCTGGACATTGGTGCCATGACTCCTTTCTTTTGGATGTTTGAAGAAAGAGAAAAGGTATAAGGGAGGCGTGGATAGGAATAGGGAAGGAAGTACATGAAGTAGAGAGGGCAGAGAGGGAGACAGATGAAAACGGGGAGGGAGCAGTATCTTTTGTTGGATTGTATTTGTGGGAATCTTGTCCCATGAGGCGTTTGGCTAGCCACAAGAAGTCAGAGGTAGGGCAATGGGCTACTGTGTTGCTGGACTTGGGCGTCCCTGGACTTTATTTCTCACCCCTAGTGCATTCTGTCTAGATGTTTGAGTTCTATGAGCGGGTGTCTGGAGCCCGGATGCACGCTGCTTATATCCGACCAGGAGGTGTGCACCAGGTGAGTGGCTCGCCTGCCTCCACACTTCCCGTCCAGGTCGCTTTCCTCTTTGACCACTGGAGGGCAGTGTGGGCTGATGGACCGGGACTCTGGCCCCGTGGGAAGGGGTGCTATGACAAGAATCTCCACTTGGTTTCTAGGACCTGCCTCTTGGGCTTATGGATGACATTTATGAGTTTTCTAAGAACTTCTCTCTTCGGATCGATGAGGTGGAGGAGGTAAGATAGAAATCAATGGGGGAAAAGTATCTTTATCCCCCAAAAGTGCCCAGTGTTATATAAGTACAGAGGCTTTGGAAGATTGTCATGAAGAATATTAGCACACTGGATTTCTCTCCACAGATGCTGACCAACAATAGGATCTGGCGGAATAGGACGATAGATATCGGGGTTGTTTCGGCAGAAGACGCACTTAACTATGGGTTCAGGTAGGAGAATACAACTTCTTTCCTTAGGGTGGGAGGCTGTAGAGAGTTACAGCCCAGTGTCTTGGTTTCAAGCACGTTTGGTACTCTCCCGTCCATGCCTTGAGTTGTGTTCCAGAACCAAGGTGTTGGGGAGGAAGAAGGAAATAGGAAGCATGTGTGTCCCTTCTTGTTTTTGTGGAGAGTGGCCTTACGCCCATTGTCCCCTGCAGTGGAGTGATGCTGCGAGGCTCAGGCATCCAGTGGGACTTGCGGAAGACCCAGCCCTATGATGTGTATGACCAGGTCGAGTTTGATGTTCCTATTGGTTCTCGAGGAGACTGCTATGATAGGTAAGACCCAAAGCTTGCTCAGCTCTTTGTCCTGCTGATTTCTTTGCTGTTTCCTGGTGTCTGTAGGAGCCTGTATAGTGTGTTAAACTTGGTAGGGTTGTGCTTAGCATTCACAGTCCCCAGTATTCTCCCCCAACACACACACCAAATAACAGAGCTTTTATTTTTCACCCTTATCCTGCCATCCTGCCTTAGGTAAAACTAGTTTGGCTGCTTTTGTAGCTGAGAAAGCTGAAGCATAAGTTAGGGATTAGCCTGTTAGTGATTGAGATGGGAATCCTCCTGACCCAGCGCTCTTCCCTCTTGATTCTAAGCTACACAGTCCATTCCTGTTTACTGACCCTGAGTAAGATTAGCTACTGTTGTTCTCTTTGTTTATCTTTCCATTCGACTCCCGGACTCTGCAGTCCAAACTGGGTTTAAGAGGGTAAAAGGAGAAAAACTACAGGCCACGTGCTGGAAAAAGAGAGAGAGAGATTTGGAGAAGAACTCAATGGTCCTTAAACACTGCAGGGTTTATATGGGCAGCGAAAGCAAGCAGAGATTCTGTACGAGGAGACACAAAAACATTTACCTAACAGTTTTCATGTCTCCCAAAGGGCGCCTGTCCAGATTCCTGCTTCTTGCTCCTCTGTCCGCTTTCTCTCGTTCTAAGTCTGTCTGGTCTACTTCAGGTACCTGTGTCGTGTGGAGGAGATGCGCCAGTCCCTTCGAATCATCTTACAGTGTCTGAACAAGATGCCTCCGGGGGAGATCAAGGTTGATGATGCCAAAGTGTCTCCACCTAAACGAGCAGAGATGAAGGTTGGCTGCAGGGAGAGGGAAGAGAGATTGGGGGTGGGAAAGGGACCGGTGGCCACAGAGAGACGTCCTTGGATTAGATCCTGCCTTTCAGTTTAACTTGTGAAGACTCTGACCCTTTCACCACACTCATCTTTTTTTCTGTCTACTGCTTCCTGATTTACATGTGTGTTGTTAGTCTCCCAAAGGGCAGAGATTGCTGTGTCTGCTGGGGGAAAGCCCAAGGGCAGAACTCGGATCTGGCTTCTTCCTTTTTCTTTTACTGTTTTTTCAAGACAAGGTTTCTCTGTGTAACAGCTCTGGTTGTCCTAGAACTCACTTTGTAGACCATGCTGGCTTCGAACTCCCAGAGATCCACCTGCCTCTGTCTCCTGAGTGCTGGGATTAAAGGCGTGCACCGCCACTGCCTGACTGGATCTGGTTTTCTGATGCTCCCCTTTTCCTCCCCTCAGACGTCCATGGAGTCACTAATTCATCACTTTAAGCTGTACACTGAGGGCTACCAAGTTCCTCCAGGAGCCACATACACTGCTATTGAAGCTCCTAAGGTGAGGGAGGAGGGGAAGGGAAAGTGTGTGGAGTGGGGGCTGGAGATAGAAGTGAGCAGAGTGCTCCCTCTCTAGTGGCCAGGGAGGCTTTGGTAAAAGAGAAGAAGGTTGTTCTTCCTCCTTAGGAGGCATCCCATTTTCTTCCTCGGACAGGGAGAGTTTGGGGTATACCTGGTGTCTGATGGCAGCAGCCGCCCTTACCGGTGCAAGATCAAGGCTCCTGGTTTTGCCCACCTGGTAAGACAATCTCAGTGGTTCTAACGGCAATATAGTCATAATTTATTGACCTTGATTGAGGATTTTTGGTTATTTTCAGCAACTTAAAAAAATTATTTATTTTTAGCTTTTGTATATGTATGTATGTGTGTATATGTTTGCTACATGAGTGCAGGTGCCTTCAGAGGCCAAAGAGGGCATCAGATCCCTGGAGCTGGAGTTGCAGGCAGTTGTGAACTACCTGTTGTTGGTTTCGGAGCCGATCTCAGGTCCGCTGCAAGAGCAGTACATACTCTTAGCAGCTGAGCCACCTCTCCAGCACCTTGCTTTTTGAGCTAGGGCTTTGCTGTACAGTCCTGGCTCGTCTAGAACTCCCTTTGTAGCTAAGGCTGGCCTCAAACTTACTATGTCTTTGGACTTTAGCCTCCCAGGTTCGAGGATTACAGGCATACACCTCCACACCCAACTCTTGGAGGAGATTTTGTTTTGTTCCATTTGTTTGTTTAAGATAGAATTTTGCTGCAAACCCAAATTAGCCTGGAGATTACTATATGTGTGTGGGCTTTCCTTGGATTCACAGTAACCCTCCTGCTTTAGACTTTCAAGTGCTAGAATTACAGATATAAGCTCCTGTGCCTGGCTGGATGAGGATTTTGGCTTGGGGTTTTTGTCATTGCTGTGTTTTGTTTTTGAGGTGAGGTCTCAGTATGTAGCTCTGGCTGGCCTAGAATGTAGACTAGTCTGGCTTCAAACTCATCAACATCCTCCCGTGTGCTGAGATTAGCTGTATATACTACCACACCCTGCCTTTGGATGGGATTTTAAAGAGCTCTCCTCTGCAAACTTGTATTAATGTGTTCCTATTTCCTCTCCACAGGCTGGCTTGGACAAGATGTCTAAGGGACACATGTTGGCAGATGTTGTAGCCATCATAGGTATGAGACTATTATGCAGTAAGGTATCTAAGACAAGGGGTTTGGGATTCTGTTTAGGAACAAAACCAAACGCTCAATGTTCAGTATAGACTGTGTCCTGGACTCTAGGCCAGAGTGTCTTGGACACAGTCATGTGCTCTGAACCTCTGGCAATAACCTTCATCCTCTAACCCTCTAGGTACTCAGGATATTGTGTTTGGAGAAGTAGACCGATGAGCAAAGGCACAGCCTTTGAGTTCCCGTGCCTGGCAGCTTCCTCTGCAAGGCCTGTCCCTCACAGGAAATGAGGCTGTGTGTCTCCGTGTGTATAAACAAACATACATGTACACGCTGACTTAGCTGTACAGACTTTCTGTGCATGTACTAGAAAAAGAGAAATTATATTAAATTAGCCGCCTTGCGGCCCCTACGCTCAAGCTTCTAATGAGTCTTTCTTAGTGTCTTACTGTCTTTCACTTTGTATTTCTCTGTCCGATTTTCCCAGCTGAATCTCCACCCCGTCTCTGACTCTTGCCCTTTCCACTTCTCCATTCCCCATTTCCCCTTTCCCCTCAGTTCCTCCTGCCCGAACCCTCTGAGCGTCTATGCAAACTGTTAAACTCCAGCGAAGACTGGGTATATAAAGTTCCAGATAGGAAGGGAAGGGCTATGGCGGGATCTAAGGGAGTCTCGGGCAGTTTGCCTCATGCGTACGACCTATGTCCGAATGGTGGATGAGGGGTTGTTAAACATGGCGCACATAGACAGCCTTCCCAAGCATGAAAGAGTCTGCTCGTTCTGTGGGCTAGGAGGTTGGTCCCTGAAAGGGCTGAGGCTCAGAGGCCAGATCTTCCAGCTCCCCTAGTTGGCCCTTCCGGGAGCCGCCTGGTCTGTAGTGCAGGAAGGGGAAGGGGCCAAAGTGTGGGGGGAAGGCGGGGCAGGAAGGGGGAGCTGTGGTCAGGGAACTGCTCATGGGCACAGCTGCGCAGTTCAGTCTGTCAGGGCGACTGTCTGATCGCCAGTTCCCAGCTCCGAAGCCTCTGCCCAAGATGATGCCAGCCGTGGTCTTGCTCTTGCTCCTTCTGGTCGAACAAGCAGGTGGGTGGAGGGTTTGGTGAGGACCATTAGCTGTGCTTGGGAGGGAGTCTAGGGTATGAACTGGGGATGGAAGGAAGCAGGCTGGGCCTGGGCGGGTGGGCACAGGGCTGAGGCCGATTCTGAAGTTAGCCCTGTGGGCTCTCCTCCCAGGCACTGCTCATCATTTCCATTTTTATTGTCCCTTTCTTCCGAGTGACTTCAGGACCAATGTGAAGGGTTCGTTTGTCAGGGGTGGGGACTGTACAGCGTGAAGAGCTTCTCTGGGAAAGTTCCATCTCTTGATCAGCAATACCATGGATGCTCTCTGTCTCTGTTGGGAGCCGATCTCTAGATAGTTATATATAAAGCCCTCTAAATAGGCTAGGGCCTGTCTGTGAGCTTGGGGGTAAGGTAAAGGAGTCCAAAGAGACGTGAATACTGTTTCTGGGGATGGTCAGGGCCACACCATTCGGTCCATCTGACATCAGTAGGCAGCAGAGTGTTCTCAATCATCAGCTGAGAAGTAACAGCAAAAGCCCCAAGGCCCAGCGGCTCTAAGGTTCTATCAGTGTGCAGTGATTGTCTTGTGGGGAGACAGGGTGTTATGTAGCCCAGGCTAGCCTGGAAACTCCCTATTTAGCTGAAGCTAACCTTGATTTCCTAACCTCCTGCCTCCACCTCCCAAGTGCCTCTGCCTGTCCTACCCTGCCCAGCAAGGGGTTTGAGGAACACTGTTTGAGGGCTGGCTTGTTACAGATGGGGGGTTAAACCGTAGGGAAACAAAGAGAATGACTGGAAAGGAGGGCCTCCAGCTGTGTTCCGGAGGCAGAAAAACTGGGTTTGAGGTCCAGTTCTGTTGCTTAGCTCTGGCCCTGAATGTTTCTAAGCTTTCCTGAGTACCTGCATTTCATCATCCATAAAATGGCCGATGTTGATGTTTCTCTCACGAGGTAGTTTTGAGATTTGTGCAATCTCGCCTGGGAGTGTTGGAGAATAAAAAGTACTTTACCAGTCTTGGTGACTTGACTTGTGTGGAAGTGGACAGGGCTATACCATTTTGTCAGCTGGTAAGAGGATGGGTAGCTTAAAGTGCCCAATCCTAGAGACGCATGCATCAGATGAGAAATAACGGCAAAACTATCAAGGTCCCAGAGCAGGCTGACATTCACCGCGTTGGTCCTGATGAAGCTGGGAGCAGTCCCTGGAGCCCAGATCCTGTGTGGTCATTGGAGGCAGGAGCTCATTGTGTAGCCCAGGCTGGCATCATTCATACTCCTCCTGCCTCAGCCACATGAGACTGTGTGCGGCCATCATGTTCAGTTCCTGTGCCCGTCGTTGGTGGTAGAGTTTCATTTCTTGGTTTTTTTTTTTTGTTGTTTTTTTTTTTTGGGGGGGGTCATTTGTTGCGAATTATTGTTTGTTTTTCAAGACGGGGTTTCTCTGTGTAGCCCTAGTTATCCTGGAACTCTGTAGACCACGCTGGCCTCAAACTCAGAGTTCCACCTGCTTCTGCCTCCCAGGCATGTGCCACCACTACCCAGCCCCCACTTTTTTTAAATTAATTAATTAATTTTAATTTGACAGGATCTCACTCTATATTCTAGGCTCATCTGGAGCGCATGGCAGTGCCCTTACCTCAGCCTCCCAAGTGCTGGGATTATAGGCGTGACCCACCAACTCTCAGCTCCTGCGTGATTTTTTTTTTCTTTTTTCTTTTTTTTTTTTTTAGTTGCACAAACTTCCCCTCTTCAAGGCCCGGCATGATTAACAGGGCAGAGTAGCAGGAGGAAGAATCCATATTTTAGATTCAGTCTGTGGTCATTCCTTTGAGCTGTGGTCACCCATCCCGTTTTACAAAGTGCAGAGTCAGCGGAATCTGTAGCGCCTCCAAAAGCAGTCACTTCGGGTTTTGTTTGTTTTCTGATAGAGTTAAGTGCCTTGTGAGGCAAAAAGCAGTGAGGCTGAGAAGATGACCAATACCAGAGTGATTGCCTTCCTCCCCTTCACCAGCTCACATCCTTCCTGTCCAGCCCTCAGCCACAGGTCACAGGACTGAGCAGAGACACACTCTTGTGGTTTCTGTGCTGAAATTTGCCACTATTCTCTCTCCCCTCCCCCTCTGGGCTGAGGTTTCTGTCTCAGCCCAGTAAACTCCAATGGGTCCTTGAGGTAGAAGAAGTGTTCAATGATGCCTGAGGAACCACAATCTGAAAAGGGAGGCCTGGGGCTGACAGGGAAGTCTCTAACCCTCACCTCAGTAAACCCAGGTCCTACCACAGCAGAAACCTTCATGCTTCCCATCCGACTCCTACCGTAGTCTGTGGGGGACGGGGGAAGGTAAGAGAAACAAGTCTAAAGACGGGGTTACTTTCTTCCCTTAGAAGGACCCCCACAAGGCCCTGTCCCACCTCCCTGACCCCTTTCCCTTCCTCTGAGCAACACCCCCCGCCCCGCCCCTGTGCACTGGGTCCCATGGACACCCTGTATCCCCTCAGCTGCCCTGGGAGAGCCCCAGCTCTGCTATATCCTGGACGCCATCCTGTTTTTGTATGGTATAGTTCTCACCCTGCTCTACTGTCGACTCAAGGTAAGGAGGGCTGGGGCCGGTCTAAGAACCGGACCCCGAAGTGGGAGGGTGGCGGCGGGAAGGGGAACCCAAGGGGTTCTCCATGGTTTGGAGGGAAAGGAGATGGGCCTCCAAGTTCTCCTTTACTGATTGCCTTTCCCCCACTTCAGATCCAGGTCCGAAAGGCAGCTGTAGCCAGCCATGAGGTACGGAGTCTCCCACGCCTGCGCGCCAACACTTTTTTCTAGGCTCTCAACCTTCCTGGGTTACTAGCCTTAGGTCTGAGGCCTCTGGGAAGGCATGTGTTTTAGGCACTAACCTGCACCCTGCCCCTCACCTCAGGATGGGCAGCAGCCTGCCATCTAGTTGAGCTGCAAATAAAATATCTGGACAGGAAAGAATCAAGTAGAGGTGGTAATACACAAGAGAGAGTCGTGTGCTGTACCGAAGTGTGTTTGTAGCCATGTGGGTACCCATAAGCAGTCCTGTGAGTGCTCCTAGCTCAAGGCAGCTAACACTAACCTTGGCCCAGATACTCCCTGGGAGGGAAGGAAGCTGATGGGAGGCCCCGAAGAAGGTGTTGGTCTCTAATGCCTTGCTCCTTTCCTCTACAGAAAGCAGAGGCTGTTTACACGGTGAGTGAGCCTCTTTTCCCTACTTGAGAGGTCACAAAAGGAACGGGGTCACCTGTGAGGTGGATGGGGGCCCTGTGGTGAGCTCCAGCTCCTGATCACCCTTTGACTCTCCCGCAGGGCCTGAATACCCGGAACCAAGAGACATACGAGACCCTGAAGCATGAGAAACCACCCCAGTAGCTTTAGAACATGTGTGCTCGGCTGCGTTCCTTTTTCTGCTTCTAGTTCTCTCTGAGCCCTCATGGTTGACATCCCTAGGCTACCTCCATGCTCGGGATGCCAGCTGACCTTACTCCCATAACGATGCTAGGCTCTAAATTAATGTACACCAGCAGTTCCTCGTCTCCATTAAAGACTTACTCACCGATGTTTATTGCTTTATTCCTCTTTCCTTCCCTGGTCCCCTACCCTTGCTAAACAGCGGAAAGGGATTACCTTCCAATAAAGCTGTCACAGATCTGACTCCGCTCACTTTGTCATTCCTCATATTATATTGGTTCAGCTTGTACAAAGCGTTAGGGCTGGATGTTGAAGGTACAGTTTTGAGTAAGGCAGACTCAGCTGCTGAGAACACAGGACTTCAGGGCTACTTCGCTTTTTTTGTTTTGTTTGTTTTTTTCAAAACAGGGTTTCCCTGTGTAGCCCTGGCTGTCCTGGAACTGGCTCTGTAGATCAGGCTGGCCTTGAACTCACAGAGAACCACCTGCCTCTGCCTCCCAAGTGCTGGGATTAAAGGCATGTGCCGCCGCCACCACCACCACTGACCTGGCTACTTTGTTCTTCTGGGGTATGAATGCTGACTGTATCTACATGAGTGAAAAGACCCTCGGTCTCTTGCTGCGCTGAGATGGACTAGAGCAGGGAGCATTCTTACACTTTCACTCTGTGTTGGGAGTATAGATGTGTTTGGAGACATTGGAACCTAAAAAATCACTTCTGTACTCAATGTGGCTTTTTGTGTCTGAAAAATGAATCATGATCGGTTTGTGGAGAAGCCTGTATGTCTAACCCAAAATAGTCACCAATCTAGATAATATCAATCCAGCTTGTGCATGTTTGAGTTAGCACAGCTGGAAAGCTAAGCATGCAGAAGGAATGTGATGGCAAGGATCATGTGACCCTCCTAGTGGAAGATTTTACAAGGACAAGGGATTTTCAGGGAATTTGGGAGCAAGAAGAGCCTTAGAGAGAACCTCGTGGACGTAGGAAAGGTCAAGCGGAACAAGCTGGGTCCAAATGGGAGGTCATTTCCTCCATAGTGGATAGTCAAGGCATCCCCTGCCAATGACGGTCCTCTCCCCGTAGTCCCCTGGAAGCTCTTTGTGGAGGTGTTTAAGCCATGTAGGGTACAGTGAGCTGGTCTCCGACCTGCTTGCCTTCTTCCAGAAAGGGCCATAGTGTCCAGGCTCACCCCTGGCAATCCCCTGTGCCAGACAACACAGCACTGCATAGTGATTTATATTTTCAAGGTATTTTCCTGTTGTATCATTTTATCTGCTCACTAACCTGTATAAGAAATTCAGACTTCGACATACTAACTTGTCTAAGGTCACCTTGAAAGTAGGGACATGACTTTCTTGTCTATATACATTGTTCTACATAAAACAGAAAGTTTTGTTGTTGTTTTTTATATTGGTTGTTCAAATGCTGGGGATTGAACCTAGGGCTTCACACATGCCAGGTAAGGGATCTACCATTAAACTATATCCTTAGCTGTTTTGTTTTGTTTTCCTTTTCCTTTTGGGGTGGTTTGTTGGCTTGCTTTGTTTTGAGACAGAGTCTGTTTTGTAGCTCTGGCTGTACTGGAACTCCCGGCTCCTGTGATTAAAGGCCACCACACCCAGCCAAATGAGGGGTTTTGAGTGAAGACACTAGAATGCTCTGGGAGAAAAGGATCAAAAGGAAAGATGGGCCCTTGAATCACACTGCAGGGTTCTTCTTATTTTTATAATTTTGGTTTTTCGAGGCAGGGTTTCTCTGTGTAGTTATGGTACCTGTCCTGGAACTCACTCTGTAGACCAGGCCTGGCCTCGAACTCACAGAGATCTGCCTGGCTCTGCCTGCTGAGTGTTGAGATTAAAGGCGAGGGCCACCACCCAGCTGCGGGGCTCTTTTTAAACAAAACAAAACAACAACAAACCCATGATCTTTTCATAGAAAGTTTAAGAAGAAATTCTGAGGGTTACCCTTGTTTCCTATGACCCCAACTCAAGGGATTTTGTAGGGACACTCCTTGGGTTTGGTGACAAATCACAGGCATCACTCTATCATGTCCATCATTTATTTCTTCAGCCCTTTCTTCACAGGTCCCACCAAAACTTCCCTTCCCCTTTCCCTTTTAGAAAGAGATTGATCTTTTTCCTTCCTCCTCCTCCTCCTCTCCCACTCGCTATTTCTCCCAATCACCCAAAGACACGAGACACAGCTTGACTCCTTCCGCATTTATTGTAGAAAACCAGCAGAAGGTAGAGGGATTGGCTCTGGGGCAGGAGGACAGGTGCCCGGCACCACCTTACTTAGCAGCATCAGGAGCTGCTTTCTCAGGGTTCATCCATTTGCTGAAGAGGCTCATCAGTTCAGCTCCGGCGTTCTTAACCAGGGGGGTCAGGTGCTTGTGTGTATTTTCAAAGTAAGTCCTGGGGAGGGGAAGGACCAGAGGTCAGTGTGAAGGGCCCTAGTCACTGCCAGGGTCTCTGTTGGGAGTGAAGGTCAGAGCAGACTGACCCAGCTTCCCAAGTGATACACCCTGATTTATCCTGGTATACCCAAGTCTGTAAGAGGAGGAGTAGACCTTCCATGCAGCAGGCACTCAGACCCTAGAGACGACGGGAGTCCAAGGTCCACTTCCTGCTGCCCCCATCTGTCTGAGGAATACACTTAATCGATTGGGTAAGGGGGGATTTTTCTTCCCAATTTAAACCTAATCTCCTGGAACCCCAGCCGCCCAGTGAAGATTCCCATGAGAATTCCTGTCTTCCTATTTTCTGCAGGCCTGGAGCCCTTGAGCCCTCTCCTGGAGACTTACCTGGCTTGGGTCTGAATCTCCGAGGCCTTGGCCTTTTCCATCAAGTCCTTGCCATAGTCAGCCATGGCCTGAAAATACTGACTGACCATGGTCGCCATATCTGGCTGTCCCGGCTCCTCTGCCTGCCTCCGAACCAAAGCCCCTACACAAATACAAGGCATGAGCTTTTCATTTGGATTTCCAGCAGTGAATCTTGGTCTCCCCTCACACCCCACAAGATCCACCCCAGCTTTTAGTTCCTTCCTCAAATTGGTGTCCTGCTAAGTATTTGTTTTTTTCTTTAGAAAGGGAATGATCTTCCTCTTGAGTTCTGGGCAGCACACTCAGCTCTACAGGCACAAGAGAGTTGGGTAGCCAAGACCCCAGCACCTTCTTTTCTTTGGTTTCCTTTCTCCATGTTATGAACGCACCTTCCAGGCTACAGATGGTGACAAGCAGTGCAACCATTGCAAGCAGCTTCATGACGTGGCCTAGGAGCAGAGCTGCTGGTGGGAGAGGACACTGAAGTCAGATGGGCTGTAGCCCCTTCTAGGGACCCCACCCCCACCCCCCATGCCAAACCTAAGTCTTTCCTTTTCCACGGTTAAAGTCCCATCCTCTTTGCATGGCGCCCACATCTCCCGCTCCCTCATCATACCTGTTCAGTGTCGCTGTCCCTTGGCGTCTACTCCGGGCCTGACAGGAGGCAGGGGCTATATACACATCCACTTCCCCACCCTGTCAGGTGACACAGAGAAGAGCAAGTCCAGAGGGGGCAGAGATCACGCTGGAGTAAACAAGTTGGAGAGACGGATGAAAGAACAAGCCAAAGGGGCGCTTGGTGTTGGAATGAGAGGCAGGGGGCTATAAACTCTCATGAAGACCAAGATCTGCTTATGATTTATCCCTTTGGGACCGAGGGCTGAAGTTGATTGGTTGATGTGTAGCAGGGAATCAGGAGTCTAAGTTGTTTCTCTGGAAAGCTCTGACAAGAAGCCCTTAACCCTTGTTATCTTTGCCTCAGAATGGACAGACCGCATTCCCCCAACCCCACATCCCCCCATAGCAACTTGGCAAAGAGGTATTTGGGAACAAAAGAAAGGACGAAGAAACTAGGCATGTGGCAAGTGCCTTTAATCCCAGCACTGGGAAGGCAGAGGCAGACTGATCTCTGTGAATTTAAGGCCAGCCTGGTCTATATAGTGAGTTCTAGGGTTGCATAGAGAGACCCTGTCTAAAAAAATTTTTAAAAAAATGTTTTTTAAAAAAAAGGAAAGGAAAAGAAAATAAATAAGGGAAAAGGAGTGGTGGGGAATGGGCTTAGGGGAACACAAGCCAGACCAGATACAGCTGACTCTGTCCCTTTTTGAGTTAATGTGTAATGAGACAGGAAGAGGGATGAGAATGTAGAATAACACTCCTGGGTTCTTATCGATGAGCATACCCTACCCCCCAAAAAAAACAAATTCAGAAAAATAGCCTCTGCCCTCCTCCTCCTCCCAAATGCAATAGTCAAGAGGTTCTGTCCAGGTCGAAGGTGCCTGGTCATTTGATCACCTTATCAGTTAGGCCCTGGCCCTTGGCCCAGCTCTAATTGTGTGGGAGGACAGAGGCACATTCCCTAGGCCCAGAGCTTTCCTGTGGATTAGCCAAGTGGAGACTGAAATCTTTCACCCTTTTGCCCCTAAAGCTTGCCCTATGTGCACTGTGGAACACTACTGAGGGATACGGGGGTGGAAGTGTGCGAGCTAGCGAGGGGTGCAACCATGACTAAGAAATCTTTCCCCTTTCCAGGTCTCCTCTTGTGAAGCGGTTCTAGGGCCACACTACCGCTTGCCCCTGGCCCCGGGGGGAGAGAATGTTAAGTACAGGCTGTAGTCGCCTTCCTGGATTTTATTAGTCCTTTCTGCAAGGAAGGGCTAACAAGAGAGGGCAGCTGCTTCCGAAATTAGTTCTGCCCACAACCCGCTCGCCTCCCCCGAACCCTCACAATCATCCCTAATTCTAACAAGAAGGCAAGGCATGTAGAATTCCAGAGTCGGGAGGGCGTGGTGGAGGGTTCTGTTTTCCAGGGGAGAGCTGTGTTTGTGAGCAGCAGTCCTTTGGAGATGTGTGGTGGAGGGCCGTGGGGATGCCCCAGAGGATTTCAGGAAGGTTGAGAGTAATGGGAACTAGGTTTTCACAATCCCCGAGCGTCTCTTCACAAAACACGTCTCCAAACTCAAAACCGTAGTTTCACTTTTCTCACGTCCGGCTCAAGGAGCCCCAGCGGTCCAAGCGACAAAATGCTCCCTCTAGTGTCTTGAGTGCTCAAAAGTTTATCTCGACCTTGAAGAGGCTGGGCGATCTCAGTAAGGTGGCCTTCGGCTCAACTCTGAAGCACCACCCACAAACTCCCCCTCGCCACTGCAGCGCCGGAGTGAAGCTCTGGGGCTGCCAGGCCTGCCACTCTTCTGTCCTCCTCCTCTCCCATTGGTCACTGGGAAATAGAAGCACCTTTTTTCGTCATTGGGTGGGTTGGGTCTTTGAGCGCTTCCTTTGCCCATTTCCAAGATGGCGCCCGCGGCCATGCTTGGAGTGCAGGGTGAAGCTACGGTTCTGCCATTACTCAAGATGGCTGCCCCCATCAAGATGACCGGGGTGTGCCTGGGGGAAAGGGGCAGCAGGATGGTTTGAGATGGTAAGGGCTAGTGCTCCATTGCGGGCAAAACTTTGGGACATGGGGATGAAGACTAGAGAAACCAGGGAGCTAGTTGAAGCCTGCGGTGGTGGTTAAGAATAGATAATAGGAGAGCGGGCAGGGGTGACAGGTGGGGTGAGGGATCAGCGATGGGGCGGGAGTGTGCCTGGCATTCAATTTTCCCACCGGCGCCCTTTCCCCCTACTGTGCCTTGTTGCAGGTCTAGCATTGAACCACATGGAAGTTTCTGAAACTGGGGAGCCTGATGATGGGGGGTGGAGCCCGCGGAGGATAGAGGGAGCAGTAGATTGTTTCCCCAGGCTAACCCCAAACCCTCCCTGTCCCCTGGACTAAAATGGGGAACACCCTGGGCCTGGCACCGATGGGGACTTTACCCCGCCGGGGCCCCCGTCGAGAGGAACCGCTGCCCAACCCCGGGAGCTTCGATGAGCTTCACCGGCTGTGCAAAGGTGAGGACTTGGCCTTTGGGTGTCTCAGGTTGAAGGGGTGGGGGGGGGTGAGGGTGGGGGTCTGGAATGTCCAGCTGATGTCCAGTGACGCGAACAGAAAGGAGAGAGCACAGCCGGGACACCCAGCAGTCAAGGAGCATCAGACGTCCAAAGCAGAGCGTTTCGTTGCAGGATTCGAAAGGAGGTCATTTCCTCCAATGCTTCCTATGGGGCTGAAAGGGAAGTCTAGCCTCCTTGGTTAGGAGTCCCTATCTGTACTCATGCCTTCCCTTCCCCTCGCTTCTTTCAGATGTATTTCCAGCACAGATGGAGGGCGTGAAGCTGGTTGTCAACAAGGTTCTGAGCAGCCATTTCCAGGTGCTCCCACTTCTCTGGCCCCTCCTTACTCCTCCTCCCTGCCTGTCCCTGGATCCTCTTCTTCACACCCTTTACTCCAGTCTTAGCCAGGCTATGTGGGACAAATGAGGGACAAAGGGGTCCCTTTTCCTTTCTTTGCTTGTGGGACTTGTTGCTTAAAATCCAAGTGACCCTCCGCATCTGCTGGAATGGTTGAGGTTTTTAAAAGAATTTCATGGGTGGAAAGAGATCAAGCGTGGGATAGGGAGTTGAAGTGAAGTAGAATGTCACGTTCTCCGTTGTCTCTTCTTTCCTCAGGTAGCTCATACTGTGCACATGAGTGCTCTGGGTTTGCCAGGCTATCACCTCCATGCCGCCTATGCAGGGGACTGGCAGCTTAGCCCCACTGAGGTGAGGGCTCCACCACTCTTGCGTCAACTCCCTAGAACCCCACATGGGCGTAGGTCTCGAGAAGGAGGCAATGTGTGTGTTCAGCAACTGTCTCCTCTGTGTCTCTTCTGAATGGGAGAGGCTAGAGAGATTCCTGCGCAAAGATGCCCGAGTTTGTCTTTGACGTCCACCAGGGGGCACTGTGTGATGTTCCTGAAATCCCTTAGTGTTCATGGTTAGGTGACTAAAACTACCTGCCCATCTCAGCCTTACCGTCTACATTCCTTAACAGGTGTTCCCCACCGTGGTGGGGGACATGGACAGCAGTGGCAGTCTCAACGCCCAGGTCCTGCTTCTGTTGGCAGAGCGGCTGCGAGCTAAGGCTGTCTTCCAGGTGACCCACAGTTCCTGCCTCCATCTACCGAGGCAACTCCTCTCTCTCTTCCATGGGTATCCTGCCTTGGGGGACCCAGGGGGAGGAGCAGAGGCAATATTGAACATAAAAAGAGGGAAGGGTATTTTATTTCTTCCTCTCCTCTCCAGACACAGCAGGCCAAGTTCCTGACCTGGCAGTTTGATGGCGAATATCGGGGAGACGACTACACAGCCACTCTGACCCTGGGAAATCCTGACCTGATCGGGGAATCAGGTGGGGAACTGGGACAGAGTTCTTGCTCTCGTCCATTTGCAAAAAAATGTCAATCATGCCGTTTCATCTTCGGTTCAGTTTGGGGACTGGAAAAGGAACTTTCTGGGCAGGCTAGAGTGGGGGTGACAGGACGGTAAGGGTGCCAACCTGACTCTTGTCTCCTCGCTTCTCCACAGTGATCATGGTTGCTCACTTCCTGCAGAGCATCACTCATCGGCTGGTGCTAGGAGGAGAGCTAGTTTATCACCGACGACCAGGCGAAGAGGGGGCCATCTTGACTCTGGCTGGGAAGTACTCAGGTGTGGGCGCCAAGGGAGACGGGTGGGAAGGAGCGACTCTGGGGTTTCCTGGGGTTCCTTGCCAGGATTCACTACGGTAACTTTCTTTTCCCTCTGTACTTTTCCCCACAGCAGTACACTGGGTGGCTACGTTGAATGTTGGGTCAGGAGGGGCCCACGCAAGTTATTACCACAGGGCGAACGAACAGGTAAGATTACTGAGCTAATCCGCTATCCGAGTCAGTCAATCAGAAACTCTGCCCCTCAAGTCTCCCCAGGCTGCTGGCCTATTATTATTCTTCCTACTCTCACATTGGCATATGTTTTCACACACGAGTTCAGCTTGCTGATGCTCTTGGTCAGGACTCTTCTGGTAGTCATGGTGACTGTTCCTCCTCTCATTTTTGCCCCTGCTTCTCAGGTCCAGGTTGGAGTGGAGTTTGAGGCAAATACAAGGCTACAAGATACAACTTTCTCCTTTGGTTACCACCTCACTCTGCCCCAGGCCAATATGGTGTTTCGAGGTGAGGGTTACTGCGACATTTGGAACTGCCGAGGAATCCGGGGATATGCAAGGAGGCAGGCTCTACCCTACTTCGGTTGACTCCTTCCTCCAAGTCCTACTTAACAATCTGATCAGTATTCTTTCCCTGGCAGGCTTGGTGGATAGTAACTGGTGTGTAGGTGCTGTGTTGGAGAAGAAGATGCCTCCCCTGCCGGTCACTCTGGCCCTCGGAGCCTTCCTCAATCACTGGCGCAACAGATTCCATTGTGGCTTCAGCATCACTGTGGGCTGAAGCTGTCCCGGAGGCAACCTCCACAGCAGCTGGAACCTTTGAGTCAGATGCCCTAGGGCCAGAGACTAACGAGGTCGCACCCCAGAGCCTACCTTGCTGGAGGACTTCCAGGTCCCATGGGCAGAGTGGGGGACGGGATCGTGTCCTTCTCAGAACTGGAGCTTGCCACAGGATCACTTTCCAATGAGGCAGTGGTTTGAGGTGCCCAAATCTGCCATCAGCCCCACTATAATTTTCCATAAGCTCTCTATGGCTCTGGACTGAAGGAGGAGGATTAAGGGATGTGTCTGGCTCCCCGCACCCTACTTTCTTCTTTGTCATTTTTCTTTGATTACGATATTAGCTCCTTCTTCTTCAGAGCAGAAAAATCTGCATGGGATCAGCTCCCTGCCCCATTTCTCCCGTTTCCCATCCCTCGGCCTCCCAAGGTTGGGGAAGTAAGGTTAAAGAGCCAAATCTTTGGCCATAGAAAGACAGAAGAATGGGCCCACCCATTCCCAGAAGGAACTTTACCTCCTAGCCCTGAGGCTTCCTTTTTTCCCATCTTTTGTGTCTCCAGAGAACAACTTTGGCCCTATGGTCCCCCCAACTCCCCACCCTCTGCCCCGTGCCCTCTCCACACCCCCTACCCTCTCCACACACCCTGCCCTCTCCACGCCCCCTCCCCTCTCCACACCCCCTCCCCTCTCCATGCTCCCCCCGCCCCCCATGACCACACGAAGAGACAGTTACTGTTCAGTGTTTCATTGCTGTCACGGAGCTCCTTTAAGCTGGTCCCCATCTTGGGTACCAGCCATTTCCCCTTTCCGGTCCAATGTCGGGGGAGTCTGGGGCAGGAGGCAAGCCTGGGCCTCAGCTACAGATTTCCCCGAGCAGTGGCATCATAGCAGACAGTCCCTGGATGCGCTGGATTTCATATGAGTATGCATTGTTGATGCTCCGGAGCTCAGCCAGCAGGCCCATCAGCTTTGGGTACAGAAACCTTTGGAGGGAGCAGTAGGGTTACCAGGGAAAGAAGAGGGAAATAAGGCAGCTGGGAGTCTTGTCCTGAGGCTCCCGTCCCCTGAACTGTCCCTCCAGGAGGCTAAGTCTGAACATTGGAGAATCATGCTGTGGATGGCACATACTATATTTGAAAAGTTCCAGAAGTCCCCAGGAGGGCTTCTGTCAACACTGTCTTCCTTCTTTGTGCCTAGTTTTTCCTGAGCCCAGGGCGTAGAGGTCAAGTGTAAGGAATCGCTAGACTTGGCCAGAACTTCAGCTGTATAGAATCTGAAGGTGGGGCCTTTTAGATGGAGTTCCAGGAGGTGGGCGTGTTGTTCGATGGTATAAGGCATCCCCTTCTTAGCAAACTGATTTATCAAGGAGTGAGCAGAACAGAAGTGGCCTGAACTTCAGAGCCTGGATGACTGAACTAGGGACAGGCTTTGTCCACGAAACTGTGAATGAACGTGACCTCAAATGGAACCGAAAAATTCAAGGAACTGACCCAAGGGCGAGGAGAGGGCCAAAAAGAGGAATGAACAAGACTTTGGAAATTTTGCTTTAGTATGGAAAAGTTGGAGAGGTGAGGTGATGGATATCACCAATCTCAGGAATGCTATCATACACCGGCCAAGAGCTACTACTTTGCATCTCTACTGAATAAAAAAACAAACAAACAAAAAACCTTGGAAAAGTGAGATGGAACAGCAGTATGAATAATTTAGATACTGGAACTATGTGTGATAGGGGTGGGCCCAAGGGAAGGCCTGGATTCCTAAGTACTTGGTTTCCCAAAGGAAACAGCAGTAAAATGCATTCATCCTGATCTCAATGGTTCTCAGATCCCTTCCTTCCCCCAAGGCAGCCTCTGAGCCCCCAGCCTCCTACCTACCGACTTTGGGGCCTTGACTGCTGTTCCATAATGTAGTTGTTCAAGATCAGTGCCATCTCCTCTTGCCGCTGATCAATCTGGTCTCTCTGGGTCACTCCAGGCCTGTCTGAGATGGAAAACTGGGAAGGACAAGGTGGCAGGGAACACGGGTGGGAAGCCTCACATTGTCCAGGGGCCGAGAATGGGATAGACCCACTCTATGGGCTTAGAAGCCAGATGGTCAGGGGTAGATTAAAGTTTTGAGTTTTGGTAGAGGTGGCGGGGCCAGAGTCCCTTGGCTTTTGGATGATTCTTACCTGGAGAGAAGAGGGCCATGGCAGCCATGAGCACGTACTCAGCTTCCTGGAGCTGCAGTCGTTTCAATGTCTCATGGAAGCGAAGGGTCAAGTCCAAAAACTCCCCCTGGAACCCTACTGTGAGAGGTGGTGGGCTTAGGAGCCTCTTGGCCATTGCTTCATACCGTACACCACAAGGATCCATACCCTGTACTGCTCTATCATCTCACCATAGGCCGCATCCTCCATTTTGTAGCAAAGAGGCCCACAGAAGAAATTCTGTGTTTGAAGACAGAAAGTAGCGTTGAGTGAGATATGCAGTATTTCCACAGCTGCTCCCTTGAGAAGGGAGATCTGGTCCTCCATGGGTAGGGACCTGTGTGGGCAGAAAACAAAGGCACTTCAGACTTAAGTCTGCGCATCAAAAAGGCCTGAATGACACACTTAGAGCTGAAAATTTAAGTCCCAGTGCTTGGAAAGTTTAAGGGATATGTGACATTATTAAGCGACTGGTATAATTTATGCAGCATTTACTTCCTGAAAGATCATGTGGTACTCACCGGAAAAGGGGCAGGTCCTTGGTGAACTTGATAATCTGCTGCACCATGAACGTGTTAATATCTGCAAAGTGTGTGAGCAGAGGCCTCACGGGGACCAGAGGAGGGAAGGGCCGGTGATGGACGAACAGGTAAGCTGGAGGCTGTAGAGTTCAGTGCATGAGTGAGAGGCCTCAACCTTGGCTGTCCTTTGGGCCTCTCCAGCCTTAGAAGGGTTTTTGGCTGAGGCACCTGCCCACTCTAGGGTTCTGGAGAACTGTCCTCTGTCAGGGCATGGTACATAGCCCCCTCCCTCAGGCCACCTCCGCAGGCACCCAAGGCAAATCCTGTAAGTGCTCACCCTGAACTTCACAAACTGGTCAAACATGGGGACCACGTGGCGAGTATGGGCCCCCAGGAGGGTCTGGACCAGCTCTTTCTGCTCCTGACTCATTTGCAAGGACGCCTTCTGTGCGCGCCGCTGTGCCTGCCTGGCTCGCCGCAACGCCAAGGCTTCTGCTGACAGTATCACTGCGTCGGGCAAGAGAGATGACAAAGCTGTTCAGAGCAGCAGAGAACGCCTTCCTGCCAGTCCTTGAGTCGAGGCTACTCAATGTCCCCATGTAAGGAAGGACTGAGGAAGAAAGGAAGGTTTCTGAGGCTTCCTTAGACGTCACTGAACTAGTGTCTTCCGGTGGCAGGGGATCCCTGCACGCTTCTGCCAACTTCATATTTATCTGTGATACACTGCAGCAGAAAACAATGCACCATGGGAAAGAAGGGAAAGGTGGAGAGAAAAGTGGAAAGGGTATAAGATGTTTGGCTCCTTGGGAACATTGAAGAAGGGTCTTAATATTGAAAATGTCACTATATTTGCATAGCATTGTAATTTCAAAGGTTCTATGGCTAGATTTCCCTGGATACAGCAATGCTAACCTGGGCAGGGCAGGCTTCCTATTTTTCAGAAATGTCGACTCTTCCACAGTCATCAAATAAGTGGTACAGGCAGAACCCAAATCAATGTCATTTGGCTTGTACAACGTCCTTTCCCCTGCTCCATGTTGAAAGGAGTGTGATATTGTAAAGCAAGAGTTTGAGAGGCAGACAGGCCTGATGCTGAAGTGGGATTCTGCTTTTTAGCTGGCTTGAGTTGTGGGAGGCCAGCTTTATTATCTGTTGGGAGCATAGGACAGCTACCTGGCTCAGAGAGAGCAGCAATGAATAACTAAGAAGTACCTATGAGATGTAAGGTACTGTGTACTCAAGAGATGGAAGAGAAAAAGCAAGCCACATAAATACGAAGGAGAAGGGCATTTCAGGTAGAGGGATTGGCAAATGGGAAAGTCCCGGCGAAGAGTATGCTTGATGTGCTCAAGGATAGCATTGAGCCAATGTGGCTGGAATGTATGGAAGGGGCTTAAGAGACAAAGTCTGAAGTGGGATATGGATGAAACCATTCCCCTCAAAAGAGGTTGGAGGGAGGAGACTGGAGAAATGGCTCAGGGTTAAAAAGCACTGGTTCATCTTGCAGAGGACCTGGGTTGAATTCCAAGCACCCACATGGCAACTTAGAGCCATCTGTAACTTCAGTTCCTGGGGATCTGGCATGCTCTTCTAGCCTCTGTGGACACCAGGCATACACGTGGTGCACAGATATATATGCAGGTAAACACTTATGCACATTAAAAATAAATACATATTTTTAAAAAGAGAGACTGGATATTTTGGAAACAGTGGCATAATCTGATTAGTTTCCAAACATTTACTCTGCCTGCTATGTGGGACATGAGAGCTATTAGGTACACAATACAGCAGAGAAACACACTCAAAGGACTCCTGGGGCAGTAGGGGGCCAACTCACTGTCTTTCCTCATGCCAACGTTTAGACACTTCTGCAACCTGCAGGCTGGACAGTGGCGTCTCTGGGCTTTGCTGACCTCACAGCTTCCAGAGAAGGGACAGATGGGACCAATGGTTTTGCTGACTGTTCTCCTGTGAGATAGAGAAAGACACTACAGGATTTGAGATGGCAGTGAACAGGCAGGTGGGCATAAGAAGAGGCTGAAAGGGTATGGCCTAGAAGACTAATTGATTTAACAACAGGCTAATCGGAGTTGTGTCCAAAGGTCTTCGGAGGTAGCTGGAGCATTTTCATGAGGACACCAGGAAGCCTCACTCAGGAACCCTCTTTGTATAGTGCTAACTTGGTACTTTACAGGTAGTGTGTACTAAACAAGTGCTCCTGACCAATAGGCTGTGTCTCTAGGACAAATGGTTGGCCTGCTCTTTTATTATGTCACCAGTTTCATAGAGTGTTGGGGTCAGCGAGACTGAGGGTGCCAGACACAGGGCAGTTGAGCTTAGCTCTAGGAGTATTACAGCATGATAAGCTTGGAGATGTGCCAGCGTTTCAAGGCAGACTGATAGGAGTGTGGGGGTGGTTTCTGTTGGGGAGAAAGCATTCACCTGAAGAAGCCTTTGCAGCCCTCACACGTCAGGGCATGGAAATGATAGCCCGTGGCTCGGTCTCCACACACCACACAGTTCCTTGGCCCGCATGCCTCTCCACTGGCCATGGTCTCAAGTGTTAGCACGCCTGTCATGGTCTCCTGAATGTGGGGGGAGTTAACAGTCAGCTCCGGCTCACACTCGACTCTCTTCCTCTTCTTCTGTGGAATCCCTTCCCACAACTACCCTCCACCCGATCCCCCAGCACTGTCTATACTAAAAGCAAAAATGTTGTTTTCAGTCTCTGGCCTCCAACAGAATACTCACCTGTTTCTTTTAGGCAGAATGTCACGTGCAGGCCACAAAATCTGGTGTCAGGTGCCTCTCCCCAAAGCCTCCACTCTGACCCTACTTCCCTTGTGCTCTCAGGAACTTCAGGAATTAGTTTTGTTCTTGGAACCTTGTTTTCTAGGTCTCGTGCATGTGAAATTCAGGTACTCTCTGTGCCATATGTAGGTAGGATGCAGACTTTGGACCCAGGGCAAAGACCTGGGGCGGGAGGTTTTCCTAGCATGCCTCTACTGTTGGTTGGCAGCAGATGGGCATGGACTACGGTAGGTGGGGACCTCATAACTCATTAAAAGCTGCTACTTATCAGACTAATGGAGGTTTTTCCTTTTGGGGAGCTTTAGGCTAAATCTACAGTCCCCTCCTACATGGATCCTGGATAAACTGAGGGGAGAGAAAGAGGGAGAAAGGGCGAACTTTTTCACATACAGTATGCCAATAGTGAAAGGGTAGCTATAGCAGTTATACCAGGTCCCCAAAGGACTCTCTCTCTCTCTCTCTCTCTCTCTCTCTCTCTCTCTCT